GATATTTTCCACGTTCCGTTGGCTTGGCAAGACCGGTTCGGCCGCCATTTTGGGAGGTCCAAGCAGAGTCGGTCTCTCCCTCATGTCAAAGGGCTGAACAAAAGACCCCTCCGCGCAGCACTTCCGATACGTCCGTCGAAGGCGCTACACGATGAACGGCGAAGGCGTACGGATCTCTAAGGTCCAAAGCTGCAGTGCCCAGGGGGAGTTGTTTTTTTTTTTTCCTAGGGCGCTGTGCTCCGTCTGTGTGGTTTGTGGTCGACAGCGAAGGTTAGGTTCTCGTCTCTAGAGATGTCCAGTCCGTGAAGCTACGATAGTATACTTGTTGTGTGAAGCACCATTCTTGGATTTCAATTTGATTTGATGTACAGGGCTCTTGGTCAAAACAAGGAGACCCACCGGCTGACCGACTGCTGGTGTCGGTCGTTCAATGGTGAACTCCTTGGATGAGCCCGGCTCGCTCTCGCGTGAGAGTGATCCAATCCTGCCCTTTCACACGGAAATTTGCTTTCCAGTTGCGTCATGCCCATCCCCGACGACCCATGTATGACCATTCACCCAAAACCACCAAATACCATGTGAAGTCGGTGCTGCTATATGATCAAATTATGTTGGCGCCATATCTTGGTGCTTTCGCATGATGGATCCTTTGGGCAGACAACCCATGCCCACTTCGCGTGTTGCATCGGTCGACGTCGACCCGGCGCCGGGGGCGGCGCAGGTGTCGGGATGTGCGATGCCGGAGCCTGTGCCGGTCCGCCCCAACGAGCGGGAGCTCCTGTGGAAGAAGCATGAGGAGCAGGTGTTTTTTTTTGCATGGGTTTGTGATGTGTAGCCATATATTAGAGTTTCTTTTGTTAATGAGTTATTATATTTTAATGCGTTGCATTGTTTGTTTTTTTTTGCTTAATACAGTTACAGTATGTTCTTTCTTTTTCAATGGGGTTACTTGAGAGTTTCACACACAAAAAAAAAGTATATCAAATTATTGACGCCATCTATTTTTTCAGTGACTATGACAAATGACTAGTGGCTTTTACCAGGTTAACCTTTTTCGGCGAACTGGTTGGAACGAGAGTCTCGCATCTGCAGGAGACCGTCCTGCTGCAGAGCAAAGACCGACGTGGACCTCCCAAGGAGCGACGTAGGCTTTGGTATTGCGAAAACAGCCCGACCGGTCCCTCTAAACCTACACCCAGACACCACCCATGGGACTGCCATATATGCCAACATTGAGCCCTCTGGCACCACCCCAATGGGGCGGCATATATATATATATGGCAGTCCCATTAGTCGTGTCTGGGACAGGGATTGGTTTGACCTCAGACACCTGACCTGAGGATTCGGGTCTGACCCCGCTTCTCGCATCTGGGTGGGAGATGATCCGGTTTGTGCTCACCCTGCTGAAGTTGATTGGGTACCTTGGGTCTCTAAACAGGACCACAGAGCCAAAAAGGCCATTCGACGTCTACCCTGAAGAAACACCACGACTCTCCCATGGACCCAGTCCAAACCAGGTGCAGCAACCGAACACCGAACCGGACTCATGGCGGCCAATTCTGGCATGCCGACCGCGAACCCGCCGGTAGACCGCAAGACCGCGAGGACCGTCCCACTGTCGGACTGTAGGATGGCAGGGTTTTTTTGTTTGGTACACTTGTAACAAGTGCATCGCTACGTTCGTAGCTTCTTGTTACTTTATATATTACAATTATTATAGTAACTTCTTGGTTTCTAGCTACTAGTCGTAATGCCCTTGTTACTAGCAGCGATGCACTTGCCACAAGGTGAGTGACCGGATGGTTCCAGCAAAAAGGAAGAACACCTCCCAGGCCCAGGTCATGACCGAACTGGAGATCGCGAACAGGTCACGAAAACAGACTCTAAAGAGGTCTTTAAACAGAGGAAAAGGTCGTCTTTGAAGATCCTGGTCCCATTTCACATCATTACAGTAGATGTGTTCCACCATCCACAAGACCAATCTGAGCCCCAAGAACTTCTGTTGAAACGGCAGTTCTCGTGTTCGATCCCGGGTTTTGATTAATATTGATTTCTTCCACTCAAGCTCAAGCTTCCCAAAATTACCCGACATGGAGATTCACCCCCACTTGCAACTGTTGAAAGTCCCTCTACGGAAGCGCAAAGTGTGGGAGTTGCGTGCAAGGTCGTTTTTGGGAGCTCGGAAGACTAAGCCACTGCGTGTAATTCTGGAAATCTTCCACAGTATGTCCACCACAGGTGGCTGTAGTTCATTTAGCCATGATCGAAGGCTAGCTAGGTGACATTCACAGTGTGGAACGTCGCAGATGGTACAAGTGTTGCAAGTATAGTTGCAAGATGATGTTCAAGTTGTGACACACTATATAATAAGTATAAATAATGAATGATAATGCAGGTCACCAACTGGAATGTCATGATTCATACACCATGAAACCAACACAACCACTGGTGGAACACTGGAAAAGCCCTGGTAGAGGGAAACCATTCTACTGTATATGTTTGTACTTTGCAGTGCTCTCTTGCAACATGCGATGTTTCGTCCATCTTACAGAAGTTGCCACATGTTGCCACCACCTGGAAGCAAGATGACCAAAGACCATGTTTTTTGACCGACTGAAGTAAAGGAAGTTCCCTTTCAGGTCCGCTACTCAGACCAATGTTTTGATGTTTAAGTAGAACTTGCCCAAGCTGTCGGTTTGAGAGATATTCGAAGCTGTCCTGGGGTTGCTCAACGTCCCGCACGCGTAGGGTCTTTCAACCTTCAACGCTCCTCGTTCCATCGTTCCTCGCCTCGGTGTTTCGCGGCGTCCAGGAGGACATCTTTGGCAACAAGGACAATGTAACACGTCCGGTCCATGTCGGTCGCCGCGGTCCACGGTCACGTGACAGTGCGGGTTCACGAAGACGGGAGCACACGACACGCAGTGAAACTGATCAATTGGAATTACCCAGACACGTCGTGTCTGGGTTAACCGGCTCAAAGTTCGGGAGGAGCGGAACGACCCTTGGAAGGTTCGGAAAGGCTAATAGACGCCCCAATGCTTTGGGTGTAAGCGCCATGGGAGTGGAAGTGGTTTTGTTTGGGAGATTGCCATGGTAGGGCACCAATTTGTTTGATTTTATCGGCGGGGTCTTTCTGTGCAGTCTGTGCAAAGTAGAGGACTCGCTGCCGCTGTTTGGAAGACGGATCGTATGCGAGGCATGAGGCCGGGCCGTTGAGAGAAGAACCTGGCGCCATTGAACCACTCCGGCCTTTAAATCGAATCGAAGTGGCAAATGGAATCCAACTATTTCGGAGTGGCCTCGGGGTGACGGAGCCGGTTTTGGGCCGAGCGTCCGCGTCCGTGGACTGCAGGAGCATTTCAAGAGCTTGGTGCGCCTGGTCCGCGAGCGGCGCGCGGTGCAGCAGCTTCGCGCCGAGGCCGAGGAGCAGCGCCGAGGTCCGTGGTGGTTCGGAGACGTCGTTTCGGTTCGCAGAGAGGCGGGACAAGCACCAAGCACAAAGATGCCTGGTGAGCCATGTTCGGTTCCCCCATTTGAGTGGCGGGATCCCTGCGCAACCATGGTGTGATCGAGTCGTCAGATTGAAGGATGTGGACTGATGCCAGAACCCTGAAGAAGCAGTGGAGCTGGTGTTTGCTATGTTTTGTTTCTTTTGCTGGTATAGTTGTTTTGTTCTTTGGCGAAATGCGCCAAGAAGGGATCATGTGTGAGATCATAGCCAAGCAACCTTGGTCATGAGGTGTGCCCAGGAGACTGTTCTGTTATCTTCCGTCCACGTTTGTGTTGTATCAAGTTCCCACACCGATGTTTCCCCCAAGAGGCCTAAAGCCTCAGCTCCGCTCTTTCGCTACGCTTCTGACCTTCGGCGCCGTGCCAGCGACAGCCATATGACTCAGTCGCGACCCCCGTCCGCTCCGCTCGGTGCGGAAGGAGTGAGCGGAGGTCTCGGATCCATGGGGCCGGAAGAAAAGGCGCGCCACAGGTTCGCCGGGGTGTGGAGACGAATTCGCACGGAACCCCCACAGGTTCGCAGTTCGATAGATGAGTAAAATAAGCATAGCAAAAGCCATTTGAAGGCCGGCCAGTGTTTGCGTTCAATGTGTGTGTCGGCCAGTGTTTGTGGTTGGTCATACAGAGTCAAAAAAACACAATGAACAAAACAACCTCAACTTGGCCAGTTCCCAGTTGCCGGTGACTCGCCAGGGATGCGGCGGCGGATTTGATTCCCGCGGCCACCCGGTTCCCTGGGACGCGTTGGTGTGAGTGGAGTCGGTGACATCAATCGAATTCCCGAAGAGAATGAGCTTCCCTTACAAGTCAGTTTGACCTCATTTTACTGGAGATGGTCATACAAGACCAGCACTCAAGGAGGTCAAGGACCAGGTTTAACATGGTTTAACTTGGTCCGACTGGACTCGTAGGGTTCAGCGGAAAGCCATCGTCTGTTTCCAGCGTCACCAATGCTGTCATATACCTGGAAGAGGAGAGGCTTCTCGGCTTCTCGAGTTTGGGGTGGCCAACTGGTTTGCAGGACTCCGTCCGGGATGGCCTGTCCACCGATCATGCGATGGGTCTGCAACAAGGCGTTTGGCGTTTGGGGGGCGCTTTTGGTGTTTGACGCGAAATCCTCTCACTGGATTTAGTAGCTTCCACCCACTGGTCACCCCTTTTTGCAAAGCTTGATGGCTCGGACGTTTGGTGCCACGTGCTCACGTTGAAAGGGGGACATGGGACAGCTTTGTGGAGTGAGTATCAAAGACTCCATGGTCATAAGTCATAAGTACCTAACCCCTACCCCCAAGCGAACCGAAGATCATCATGATTGAAAGAATCAGATCGTACCATCAAAAGACTTCACCCCTCAATGATATCAAGATCTTAAAGGCAAAAGTGCAGATCACAAGTACAACATACAAGCGCGTGAATGCCGGTCCAAACTCTCAGTGTTGATTCTTTTCCCCTGTTATGTACATCTCCAAAGGAACACATCGCCCAAACGTAGATCCTCTCAACGGCCGGCCGTGCTCCAGCTGCCGCTCTGCAGCGCCATCGCGCCTCGCCATGGCGGAGTTGAAGCTGCGCGAAAAGAGTTTGGACGCAGCGCTGTTGGAGAGCATTGGCACCGCGCTGCAGGAGCTGCGGAACATCCACCGGTGAATCCACCGGTGAATCTCTTCAGAGGGGCGGAATCGAGAGCGGACGCATCAGTATGGACTAGGCCGACCAAAAGGAGACCCATTTTTTCGGTTCCTACGGGGTTTGCATGGAATTCGCCCTCAAATTCTGAAAGCGCGGTCCATCCTATGAATCTGGAAGGCTGCTCAGCTGAAGATCAGAGCTTGCATTCGGCCTTCAGTGTGAAAGAAGTAAATCCAATACTATACATGGAAGCTAGGTTGGCTAATGGAGAATCTCGATTTTTAATATTCCTCCCACAAATTTGGATTGTAAAACCTCTTCAGGCTTGGGAATTGCAACTTTTTGGTGACTACTGACTACTGTTTGGTCCACTCCTTCTTGGGGCCCCCGAAAGCAGGACAAGTCACACAACATCATCGCTGTGGACTTGAGTGATAACGCTTTGGAGGATGAACAAGGCGTCTTGGGCGCCGATGGATTTGAAGAATTAAAGATCATGAAGGCATGTCAAGCATGTCGTTAGAGGAGTTGAGGACCATCGCACCATGAATCTGATCAAAAGAGTAAGATCCTACTAAGGCCACGCCACAACCAGGGTCCGATTCTGTACCATCAACCACCCCTCAAATTCTTGAAACCAATCCTTTGAGAGTCCTTGGTATTATACATAATTTAGCGTTGAAGTTTACTTGCTCCCGAAATCATGAACTTTGTTCATATCTACAGTATAATTGCCGTCTCTTCCTCATGAATTCTTCGATCTTCCCACTGGCTCCGTTTGTATAAGTCCTCCACCCCTAGTTCTGGCCAGGTGCACAGGTCTTCGGCTACCTGGCCAGCAATGAGTTGGTGCAGCGCCTGGCCATGAACGACAACGAGCTGGGCGTCTCGGCTCCGGTTCCGGTCATCGGTCCGTCCGGTCTGGTCCGGGTGACCGAAGGAGGACCGGGAGAAGCGGTTCAGACAAAGGTTCCAGACACGGACCGTCCCGTTCTGGGACATATAGGACTGCCACCCCAGACAGACCTGGCACCACCCCAGACAGACCTAGTCCGGACTGGCTGGCAGTCCGGTCTAGTCGTGTCGTGTCTAGGGAAGTGAACGACTCCGGTGACCGAAGGACTCCAGGAGACGGTCACAAACAGGCAAACAGGCCTGTTCTTGACGGTCATATCCGATACACCTTGTTAGAGGGTCACTTTGAGGGTCCTGGTTGTCGAAAAGATGCATGTGGGACTGAAGAGTTGATGATTGTCCCAGAAAAGATCATCATAAACATAAACATATATTAGTTTCTTCAGTTCTCACAACACCAAACATTGGTTCCATCATGTAAATGTCCTGTGAGCAGAGAGCTTTCGTTCTTCTACCATTGGATCGCAAAACATGACATCGAAGCTGTGGTCCCATAAATTGTCAAGACAGTACACAACTTGTTGAAATGATGGATACTTTCATGATCTTCCATGAAGATGTTCCAACATCTTCCCCCTAAATAGGACTCCCCCTTCATCCCCACTTCAGACCGATCCAGCCAAACTCAGGCGATATGGCGGGTGTGGCGTTGGCCAAACTCTTGGAGACGAATCAGGTGCTTCAGCAGCTCGTGCCTGGGCGAGACGTCGACCGACGGTACGTTTCCGCTTATTGCACAAGGTTTGCCGAGTTCAGTAATCCCTAAGGATCCAATCCAAGTACCTTCTCAGAAGGTGATTGGAGACACTGCTATGTAGGTTTGGAGGGTCCAGTCGTACCTTCTGAGGTTCGGTACACCTGGATCCCTAGGGATTTTCTTCTCACGTGAGAAGCAGTCATTACTCAATTCAGGTACTACAGTAGGGGTTTTGTTATTTCTCTGGCTGTGGGTCATGGCACCGCACCGACCAGCGAATAGACTTCTACTACCAAGCTAAGAAGGTCAACCTAGAGGGGACCTACCAAGCTAAGAAGGGCTCCGGGGCTCCGGTTATTTTATTGCCCACAGCCATATATGTATAGTGCTGTAGTACTATGATCATCATCATCTATTGTTATGTATATGCGAGTGGGAGCATAGAGAAAGGGACTCAAAGGGATAGACAATAGATTGGACCTCTTGGTGCTTTTTTTGGAGCTGAAACATGGTGGAGTTTGGAGCATTGGTGTTCTGATTTCTTCAGGGTCGCGTCCCAATTCAGCGAGGGAAAGGTCCTAAGGGTAGCCCTACATCCAACTCATCTTTCCTGGTCTCATCGAAGGGCCCCTTCTAAAGTGGATCCCTAAGGATCCGTTTTCGTACCGAACCTCAGGTACGGTGATGTGTTCGACACTGCTATTTGCCGGGGGGTTTGGAGGATCCGGTCCAGTCGTAGGGTATCTTCTGAAGGACCCCCCTTTTGGGCAGATGAGGCTTGAGCGAGTCGAGTGCTGACGTGGCGTTTCCGGTGAGCATCCGGACCTAGCCTACTCGCCCGACCGAGTCGACTCATACAACATCAAGATGCAGATTTTTTTTACTTTTTAGCTTCCACATCCTGATTGATGTTCCAAGGAGCTTCAAGGCAATGCCATCTTCACCGTCGGCGTGCAGGCCCTGGCAGAGGCCTTGCCAAAGAACCGCCTCTCAGCACGACGCTATGCGTCGCTATGCGCTATGCGACGCTCGTGGACTGTTTGTTCTTTTTTTCCTGGAAGTGGAAGTGGAGGTGGATTTAATGATTCATGCAAACTATTGATTAATCCACCCCATGTGAATTGAGCTATAAACTTCGGGTGTAAAGTTGGGAATGGTTGAGAGATATCGTTTTCCTTGAGGTGAATCATCGGACGAAGGGATGTGATGAGATTTGTATACTTTCTGTTGGAAAAGTACTTAGACAGCATGAGACACTATGGGACATTTGGAACAGTATGGCTCTACATCAACTGGGCAGTGGTGTCTAGGTGTTTGTGCAACCTGAAGGGCTTTGTCAGCAGGGTCTCAAACAAAAATAAAAACAGTGGTTGTGGTCTTCAAAACCTGTGATTCGGATGCATTCAGAGGACAGTTGAATATGGTTTGTGTCAGTCTATATCAACTTGATACGGTCTGATAACCCTGAACGCTCCGCAGCTGAGATCCGACCATAATCCAAGCTCGGTAGGCCGAAGCTTCACAGCCCAAGGACTAATAACATGTAGCTCCTGGCATCGCTACTAGGAACAAGAAACTACTAGTAGACAGAAGCTAGTAGGTTGGAGGCCATCGCTATTAGGGTGGAGGCCATTCCTACTAGTAACAAGAAGCTAATAGTAACAAGGGCATCGCTACTATAGTCAGGACGCTCTATCTCTCTCTCTCTCTCCTTAAAAATCAGTCTTCGGTGACCCCCTACATGGTCCCTCAAGTGAACCATGTGTAAGAGGTTGTTCGATTTTGCTGGGTACCAACGTGCTTCTTTTTAGACACGGACGTTGTTGCCTTGACTCAAAATGACTCAAACTCCGACCCAGTCCACCAAAACCCACAACGACGTGGCGGTCGCAATCCTTTCAAACCAACCAGCCCCGCCGTGGCGGTCAACGATCGGGTCCTCTTGAAACAACGGCTGCCAGGCAAGCCAAAACGCCCCGCCTGCGGCGATGGGTCGCCAGCTGCGCATGTGGATTCCAACTACCACTGGGTCGATCGTTCCTCGAGGGGTCGATGTGGGTCAGTCCTAAGGAAGTTTGCAGCACTTGGACTTGAGCCACAATCAGTTGCCCCGGCGCAGAACGTGGGAAACGAAACGTTGACCAGCGCCGAGGTTTGATGATACACCATGGTTGGGGCCTTTTCGGATGCCTTTGGTCTTTTGGGTGTTGTTTTTGTGTGGGAGTGGGATGGGAAGGCAGTACAAGACAAGTAATGTAAACAGTAGACACATGATGAAGGAACGCCCCCTATGTAGTAAGGTCCAAATTCTTCACCAATAAATCCTGCAATACTGATCCCCTCTCTTCCCTTGCTTCACCCTCTTTATCGTTGATGTTTGTTTGACCATTCTCCTCAGTCAACGGTTTTAGCCTTTGGAATCTCTCCTCATGAAGGGGTTTAGCCTTGGGGATCCTTCCTTCACGTGATTTGATGTCAACTCATAAGGAATGCTCCTCCTATTGATGTGGGGAAACCCACATGTTTTTTTCCCCTCAGGCTTTCTGACCTTCTTGGGGACTGTAACATTATATAACACCTTTGGCTGCCCACGTTTGCATATGAATCCAATGACCCGCGTTAATGAAGACAGACATATCCAGACACTCCATGGGACTGCCATGTATGCCTACATTGGGGTGGTTTGAGGGGTCAATGTTGGCATGAGTGTCTGGGATAGATTCTTGTTGTCGAAGGCTTTGACAAAACCATTTGCGGCAACAACACCTCAAGGATCCTGAGGAAGCCTTGGCGCTTGCGACCGGGCAGTGGAACCTACCTCCATTGCCCACCTGAGATGGCATGGAACAAACTCGATGGAATGAAGACACCTCTAGGGATTGTCCGAACTTACCTGTAACAGTCAGTAAACAAGAACATCACTATGTTTTAGTCAAGGTCTGCAACCAGATAGACCCAAGACATCTCCCCATAAAAAGAAGACACATGTCTGACAGTCAGCGTAAGAACACACTGTTGACCTTGAGTCGTTTTGTGGTGATATGATTTCAACTGTGCAAAGATGTTGTTTGTGCTGGTGGTGCTGTTGGATGATTTCAACTGCACTTTAGTTCAGAGGAAAAACAAGTGGATCACGTGCAGGTCACCTTGTTTGGGGGGTGGATTTGCTTTTTTCTCCACTAAACTCATGAACAGTTGGACTTCTTAGGCAACCTCCGATCGAATCCGATCCCGTTTGACGTCTCGGGGTGGATTGGCGTGACGAGTCGACGAAGTCTTCCGATGTGTTGGGGCCTCCTGAGAGCGAGCGACACCCGACACCGCGACACACCGACACCGACACATGTAGTGACGCACGAGTGAGTCCTGTCTTCGACGTCCGAGACGTGTGACATAGACATAGACATATAGTCATGAGCTAGACATCAAATGAGTGACATATGTCATGTCATGAGTGACATACCCAAACACGGACCTGTTCTGGGACTGCCAGGATGGACTGCCACCCCAGACAGACCCCCAGTCAACCACTCCTGGCCGTTTTGAAGGCAGTCCGGACTGACAGACCCAGGCGGGTCGTGTCTGGGTATGAGATCAAATGAGTGACGTCCACGTCCTCTACCTGCCGACATCGTTAGGCTTGGCATCGGCGGGGCCGAGCTCTTGAGCAGCGGTCTCCACCAGTGGCCTGGGCGAAACAAGCGCCCGCGCGCGCGCTCTCCGAGGGATGGACCGAGGTGAAAGAGGGTAATAAGTAATGAGGCCATGGTCATGAGGCCATTAGGCATTTCATTTATGAAAGTAATATTGGTTGATTTGTTTGCTTGTGTTTGTTTGGGTTTGGAAGTCATTGCAGGCACAGGTAAACACTATGTCACTGTGTGTTCTGTTCTTTTTTTGGGTCTGGAAAGTCACCAAACAAGCATCCAAACGCCTGAGTGACAATTGTTGGTTTCTGTTGAAGTTTCTTTGATACGAATGCAGTTGGAAGCTGCAGCTACCCACTGATGGTGCCTCAAATGAGTCTATCATAATTCCATAATATAATTCCCATCAAGTACTGTGGATATAATTGGAGGTTTGAAGGTGACGCTAAACGCTAAAGGTGGGTGGACCATATCCCATCAGTCCTAGCACATATACCTTCGTTGTCCTTTTCCCTTTCATGTCTCTTCTGCCTTCTTGTCCTGTCATTTCATCTCTGTCTTCTCTTTCTTGTGTGTGCACATGGTCTTGGCCATGCCTCCACAGGTACATTGAAACTAAAATACAGATGGCCCGAATTTCATTCCCCCCCAAAATGCATGTTCTTCCCCAATGTTTGCTGTTTTTCAGGACATGGTACGGACAGTGGCGGAAAAAAAGACCTTCCGTCAGCATGGTACGTTTTGTCCAGACTTGCTGGGTGGATCGATCGAGGGGATGCCCCAAATAGTGTACCTATAGACACTCCATGTATGACATGTTACACATGGGGTGGTTCATTTTTTGGAGGGTCAATGTATGGGGTCAATGTATGTAAACATGGCATGCATGGAGTGTTTGGCATAGGTTTATATATATATATGCTACCAAACCGACACTTCTATTATTGTTCCAAGTACGGACATCATTGGCAGGTCCTCCTTGACGAGCTTGAACCTCAGCGGCAATCGCATTTGTGGCCGTGGCGCAGGGGAGGTGCTGCGTGCCACACGCAACACAGGCGGGCACGAAAAAACATTTTACGATCGAAGTGATCTTGATGTTGTGGCAAAGTAATTTCTTGGGGTGGAATCAGTGCTTTTTGAGTGAGCTGGATGAGGGGATGTGAGGTATTACAAACTGTCATGGGACAACAGACGTCCCAAACACTCCATGGGACTGGCATGCTGTGGTTGACCTGGGGTCACTATATTCTAGTCCCATAGTGCCATAGTGTATCATTTGATTTCCATATATTTTAGAGAGCTGTGGCCTGTTTATTTGATGTTGTTTGTCAACCAGGGTTGGAGACTAGAAACTATTATATATTATATATACGGTGCACGTTGCCACGTGGACTCGCAGCTCCGATTACCGACCTGTCAAGTCATTTGAGGTCCAAGAGTGAAAACAGGAGTCAATTCGACCGCTTGCTGCCGTCGCATCCGCCGACTCCTTCCACTGTCCCCTCATTTGTACTCGGGCACAGTAGCAGCAGTTCTTCCGCTTGCATGGTAGCGGAGCCCAACACGGGCTGGTAGGATTTGTTTTCCTTAGGTTGTAGCTCTTAGGTGCCTCGCCCCTAGGAGCATGTCCGAGCGGATAGAGCGCAGCAAAGATGGCGTCCCCCAGTGGGACGGTGCAGCTTCGACCTTCCAGGAGTACAGTGAAACCGCAGAGCACTGGGAACAAACGGTTCCCTACCACAAGCGATACCTGTGTGGTCCCAAGCTGCTGAATGAGCTTTCCGGCACGGCACGCCGGTTCGTTCTGGCGAAGCCACCGGGATGGGTATCACATGATGGAGGAGTTCAGACCTTGCTGACTCACTTGCGCCAGCACCTGGGCCTGCCTCAGCTTTCCGAGATGGCTGACTTTATGGCCCGCTACTTCAAGCAGTCCAGGCGCAAGCGAGGAGAAAGCATGAACGAGTACATCACCCGCAAGGCTGAACTTTACAGCCGAGCCGAGATGACTTTGAAGCGAGCACAAGGTCGCTATGGGGCATCCACATCCTCGAAGAGCTCAGGGGCACCACCTTCTCAGAGGGCACTCTCGTGGTGGGGAGGGGAAGAACCTCACGGTGAGAGTGAAGAAGGAGGTGAATTCTATGAGGCCAACTCCCAAGAGATGAACAATGAGTCTGAAGCCAATGATCCAGGGACCGAGGGCCGGGAGTCAACTACCTGGCAGGGCTCTGAGTGGGATGCCTGGCAGTGGCCACCACAGTCCTCATCATGGGATTGGACCGGACACGACCAGAGACGGCAGCCATGGTCTCGGTGGGGCAGTTCACAGACTGACACCACTGGGGCCAACAATGATGGGTCGGTGAGTTTGCTGCCCGACTTTGTACAGGGATGGTTCTTGCTCCAGGATGCTGGATTGGATACCAATGAACGCAACATGATCATGGCAGCCCTGAAAGGCAACTTCACCATGTCCCGCGTAGCCCAGGAGCTGCGCAACCAATGGTCCGAAGATGAGCTGAAGCGCAGGGATCAGGGCAACAGAACCACAGCCTGGTGGTGTGATGAGCCAGATCAAGATGATCCTTTCGCCGCCGATCAGGATAGTCCTGACATGGCATGCCTGGCTCAGTCAGGACTGAATGCCGAGGGTATGGCATTGGTCAATGAGGCTGAGACGGAGGCCCAGCAGGCCATGGCCTTAGTGGAGAAGGGCCGTCGCACTTTGCGAGAGGCTCGAGCAAAGCAACACTATGTGAAACTCAGCCGTCAGTACTATGGGCCACCAGGACGGTTCCAACATCCCGGACGCCAAGAACCGCATGTGAGAAAGGAGACCACAGCTACCACGGCATCGATGGCCAAGTGTCTGAGCTGCGGCGGAAGCCACAAGACCCAGGAATGTCCACGGAAAACCAAGGCATTCCAGGCTTCACCACCTGATGAACATGAACATCAAGCACCCTTCATTTGCCTGACCGACCAGGTGATGACAGCCGTGGCTGGATACGAGGTGCACGGCAAACCCTCGACTCAGGAGGCCATGCACCAGGGCAAGGCGGTGATTGATGGAGGCGCTACCAAGACACTTGGGTCCGTGATCGCTGTCGAGCGCTTGATGGAGCTCAACAGCCAGCAGCATGGGGACTCACGGTTGTCCCGCCTGGACACGGACGAAAAGCCAACTTTTGGCTTCGGAAACTCCTCATCCGATCAATGCCTATCCACCGCCTGGATGAAAGTGAAAGCTGGAGGTCGCCAAGGTGAACTGAAGATTCACACTCTCGACAAGGGCAATGGCCCTATCTTGTTTTCCGTTGAGGCCTTGAGGGCCCTCGGCGCGATCATCGATTTTGAACATGATTTGATTTGCTTTAGGAAGTTGAGCGGTGATCGCATAATTCAATTGGAGCAATCGAGTTCAGGGCACCAGCTGCTCCCCCCTGTCAAGTGATTTGTATGACAACTCCCACCGGGCTAAGACCCCAGTGGTCAGCCTGAAGGACATGATTTAGGGACAACTCCTCCCTCCTTCCGAGTCTGCGGAAGAAAGGGAGGTGCCAGTGAGCAGTGCAGACAAGTTTTTGAACTCTCATGCTCAGCATTCAGGGTTGTTGGAAAGTGAAAACGTGAAACTTGAGAAACTCGAAGGTGATGATGGTTTGTCGGTTTCGCACTCGAATCGTGAAGTGAGTCAACACACTGCCAACATACACACACCGACATACCCTCCTCACAACCACATGTTTACAGCCGCCGCAGCAGCTGCAGCATCTCAAGGTGATCTGAACGAACTTCCCGAGTCCTTCACCAGAGTCAGCACCTCAGATGCCTCGCAAATCCGAGCTGATCGAAGCGATGGTGGCTCTGGGAGAACAGCCTCCCAAGTCATGGACAGTGGCCGAGATAGAAAGCCGTCTGGGCGAGCTTCGTCAGGAACATGGCATCGCTCCTCCTCGCACCGGCAAGTCTCGGACTCCACTGCGCCAGATGATGGTCGATCTCAACCAGGCCAGTCGCAAGAAGGCCCATCTCATCGACCATGTGAAGAGTTTGGGGGTCTCGATCAACGGCAACGAGACCATCAAGGTGCTGATGGCCAAGGGGATTCAGGCCATCTACGACAAGGCGGAACCCACCGGTCAGGATCCAGTGGGATTCGGGACCCATGCCTCGAAAACATACGAGGAACTGTTCCAGGGAGAAGCCAGCTACTGCCAATGGATTCGCACCATGGTCCAGGAGGAAGAGTCTGTCAACCCGAGATTCATGCGCCTGGCTCTATGGCTGGACCATCGCGTCAAGAAGGACGGCACTCGGAAGTCACCGACCATGACAGCGGCAGCTTCCAAGGGCTACCAGACCACCAAGGAGAAGATGGCTCCACCCAACATGACAGAGGAATTCAATTCATCCTCGAACGCAGCTGCGGAGACACAGGAGTTGAAGATGATGATCACGATGCTGGCCACGTCCATGGGCGAGATGAAAGAGGAGCTGGCTGCATTGAAGAACGAGCCACCTCGCAAGCATCGAGCCCCGGCCACAGAGTCGATCTCTTCGTTCGAGATGATGGAACACCCATCTCTCAATTAGCACCGGAGCTCAGCACTGGCGCGCATGACCAAGGTCAGCATGGCTTGCTGACTGGGGTGGAGACGAACCAGGGAGTTCAGCGTGATGTTTCATCTCGGTTTGGGAAGTCCCTGTTTCGTAGGGTGGAAAATATGATCCCTGAAGCTCTCCAATCCTTGGTCCTTCATGACAGGGTACATCTGCTTGAGATCGCATGCAGCCCTGATAGCGTTTTGACTTCGACTATGCAGGACATGGCTGGAAGCGAAAAGGCAGCTTCCAGAGCTTCCATTTGGAATCAGTTCGATCTGACGACGAACGCCGGAGTGCATGCAGTTTTGGATAAGATTGATCATGAAAATCCCGCTCATGTTTGGATTTCTACGGAATGTGGACCATATTCGGTGATGCAAAACATCAACCAACGAAATGAGGCCCAGAAACAGGAACTGGATGAGAAACGTAGGCAGGTTCTTAAACAGTATGTTGGAGGTGCCATCGTGTTTGCTTACTGTGCCCAACGGGGCACCCATGTGACGTGGGAATGGGCCCAATCATGTCAGGCTTGGAGACTTCCCATGATCCAACACATGGCCTCCAGGTACCAAACCCAATTCGCCGTCGTTCGTGGTTGTCGAGTGAACCTTCGTAATTCGACGGGATCGTTCGTTTCGAAGGGCTGGAAACTGATGACCACTAGTCCTCTGATGGCCTCTCGCATGAACATGCCATGTCAGTGTGCTCAATCCACGGTTCATGTCCCTTGTGAAGGCCCCCCTCACTAAGAAGTCAGCTTTTTATACTCGTGAGTTCGCGCGTCGCGTTTGCGAGACGATTTTGCAGGGGGACACGAAGGTGACCTTGTGTGATGAATTTCAGGGGAGATTGAAGGGAAGTGATCTGTTTGGGAAGGGTTCGATCTGCGCGTGTGACGAACATCGTGTGCATGGGTCCGAGGTGACTTGTGGACATTGTAGGGTTTCGTTGTCGGAGGCTATGGCCGCCGATCACCCTCCGGCCCCATGCTCTCTGAGTCCCGACCAGATTCAACAGAGACTTCACCTCCTTCACTCGGCCACTGGACATAGTCCTGTTCGGTACATGGTTCAGGCGCTTAGGAGGAGAGGTGTTCATGCTGATATCTTGAAGGCCGCCCAGCAATTTAGATGCTCCACGTGTGAGGAGCGTGCTCGTCCGAATCCTCGGAACTTGTCGGCCTTGGAACCCCAACCTCCGAAGTTTGACACGATCTCGTCCGACGTTGGTCACATGGTCCATCCGCACACGGGGGGAACATTTTCAATTCCTGGTTGTGGTTGACGAAGGTTCGAGGTTTAAGGTGTCACGAGTGGTTTTGAAGGGGAAGAAGAAACACCTGTCGGCCGCACAGTTCATCACCACATTGAAAGAAGCATGGTGCAGCTATTTCGGCACCCCCAGAGTGTTGAGGTTAGATCCTGGTGGTGCGTTCAGGAGCAGAGAACTGAGCGAATTCTGTGACCAGCACCATATCTATCTGGATTTGATCCCCGGTGAAGCACATTGGAAGTTGGGTGTTTGTGAACGTAGCTTGCAGTCCATCAAAACCATCCTCATCAAAGTGTTGACCACTCACCCCGACAGTACACCGGAAGACGCTCTCGCAGAAATTGTGAGGGCGCTAAACTGTCGTGAGGTGATTCGTGGATATTCCCCTCTACAACACGTGATTGGTCGTGCGCCCGATGATACAGGAAGATTTTTCACAACAGACAGCACAGCATCCTCAGACATTTTGTCAGAGAGTCCAGCACAAGGACACCAACGTTCAGAGGAGCTGAGGCTGACTGCAGAAAAAGCATTCCTCGATTGGAACAGTGCAGATAGAATGACAAGAGCACTGAATTCCCGCCATCGACGTGTGCTGGATTTTTCAGCTGGCGACCTGGTGTTCATCTGGCGACGACAAGTCACTGGAAAGGACGCAAAGCCATCAAATGATACTCAAGGACGTTTCGTGGGCCCGGCAAGAATCCTGGCCACCGAGCAGCACAAAGACACCCAAGGACATCTCGTACCAGGTTCCTCCGTGTGGCTGGTACGAGGCAGAAGACTGTTGAAGTGCTGCCCAGAACAGTTGAGGCATGCGTCCGAGAAGGAACAACTCATCGAAGACCTCCATGCAGATGAACCACAAGCATGGGACTTTCCTCGAGTTGCTGATGAACTTGGGGGAAATGAATATGAGGATTGGTCAGAAACACCACCAGAACAAGAATGGCTACGGGCCAGCGACCCCCAACATGAGTGGCAACCAACAGTCCGCCAGTGGGGAAAACGTGGCCGACCACCAGATCCCAGGGAGGAATCAGTCACAATTGGTCCAGAGGGCCCCGAGAGCAGTCGCTGGAGACCAGCACCACCAGAGGCACGGGCCGGCAGATCCCGCAGTCCCATCCTACGAGTCCCCAACCGAGAGGAAACATCCCTCGAGCGACTCGCCAGGGACAAAGCGGAAGACTACAGGCCATCTCCGCACTCCCAACAGGACCACACACATCGGTCCAGAAGCCGGGGACCAGAGCCACCCGTAGGTTTTGTGACAGGCGAAAGCTGGACAAGCCAGGTTTCCGAAGGAGTGTTCCTGACCACGGAGACACCTGCTTACTGGTCACAAGAAGAAGCCATGATAGCTATCTCCATTACGATGCCACAGTCTCGAGGAGCATCAGAGAGAGCTATGAAAGACCTGTCAGGCTACTTGGTGTCCGCCATGAAGAAGAGGGCGATAGAGATCTCGGAGAGACGAATGACACCACAAGAGAAGATTGAGTTCGGCAAGGCCAAGAACGTGGAAGTGACCAACTTCCTGTCTGCAAAGGCCTTTGAAGCACTGCCTGAGGGCTATCGAGCCAAGAAGGAAGATGCCATTCGTATGAGATGGATCCTGACCTGGAAGTCCTTGTCAATGGGGGTTCCAAGGCGAAGGCCAGGGCAGTGCTACTGGGGTACATGGACCCCCACTATGAGCAAAGGGCAACAGCATCACCCACCACGACACGGCAGACCCGCCAGATCCAGCTGACCATAGCCGCCTCCAAGGGCTTCACAACCCATAAAGGAGATGTCACAGGAGCATTCCTCCAGTCCAGGCAATATCCAGAAGAGCTCCTATGCATTCCCTGTCCAGAAATACTGGAGGCCATGGGACTCCCAGCTGAGACCATCACCCGGGTCAAAAAGGCCTGCTATGGTTTGGTTGATGCCCCGCTAGAGTGGTATCGTTCAGTTAGCAGCTTCTTCAACCAACTCAAGCTCAAGCGATGTTGGGCAGATCCTTGTTGTTGGACATTCACCCACAACAACCAGCTAGAAGGCATCATTTCTGGTCATGTGGATGATTTTGTATTTTCAGGCAACGAAAGTTCCACAGCATGGCAGTCTGTCCTGGCAGCAATCAAACAAGAGTACAAATGGACAGACTGGGAATCCGGAACCTTTGTTCAGTGTGGAGTCAAGGTTGAGGCCCACTCGGATGGTTCCTACTCCTTGTCCCAGGAGAGCTATGTGGAGGACCTGAAGTACATCAACATTCGGGCACATCGCAAGAAGGACAAGCATGCAGCTACAGATGACCATGAGAAGGGTCAACTACGTGCCTTGTTAGGAGGAGTTAGCTGGCATGCACAACAAGTGGCCCCACACTTCTCCGCCGAGACAGGCTTGCTCCTGTCCGAAGTGACCAAGAGTACAGTGGACACTCTTAACAGGGCCAACAAGCTGATGCACCAGGTAAAAACATGCAAAGAACATCGTCTATGGATTCCTAAGCTGGACCCACAGAAGATAGGTTTGTTTGCTTGGTGCGACGCAGCGGCACAAAACAGAGTTGATGGTGGCAGCACTCAGGGTATTTTCATTGGAGCAGCCAGTGTGAACTTGTTGACAGGACAGAGTGAGACCATATCCCCAATTCTCTGGCAGTCCTCCAAGATCCAGCGAGTATGTCGCTCCCCAGGAGCAGCAGAAGCAGTGGCGGCAGTCAACGCAGAAGACTCTCTCTTCTTTGCAACATTCCAATTTGCAGAGATGCTTGGCCAAGACATTGACGTACGGCAGATCAACAGAGCAGTCAACTCCATCCCTGGATGTGTGATCACCGACTCACGCAATGTCTTCGACAAGACCTCTTCCGAGGTAGTGTGCACCAAGGGCCATGAACGAAGAACCGACCTGGATATGCTCAGCCTCAAATATGCTCAACACCGCAATGGTGTTAAAATCCGATGGGTTCATTCAGAAGCTCAGCTGGCCAACTCTCTCACGAAACATGAGATGAAGCAGCTGATGATGTTCTATGATATGAAGCAACGCTGGAAGATAGTGAAGGACATCCACATGAGCTCAGCGCGAAAGCGCAAAGAACAGGGACTGGAACCTCTCCAGGACACCGAAACAGCCGAAGACCACATACAACAACAAAGCCAACAAAAAAAACAACATCGACTCACTTCAGTGATTGCTTGGTTGGCCGTGGTTGTTTCTGTTTTTCGTTGAATGATTGAAACACTTTCCACTACCAGAATGCGAGCTAAACGCATGAGGTGGCATGCACGTTGCCACGTGGACTCGCAGCTCCGATTACCGACCTGTCAAGTCATTTGAGGTCCAAGAGTGAAAACAGGAGTCAATTCGACCGCTTGCTGCCGTCGCATCCGCCGACTCCTTCCACTGTCCCCTCATTTGTACTCGGGCACAGTAGCAGCAGTTCTTCCGCTTGCATACGGTATATTTCCGTCGGTCTACGTCATGGTCTATAGGGACGTTGCTTTCTCCAGACGTTGCTTTCTCCAGACGGGCGTTGGACCTCCACAACTCCTGAAGGCGCCCTCGCACCCTTTTTTTCTGCCCGGGCCCATGGCATTGAATGTACGTAGACTCTTGATTCATAGAACCTTCTAGGCATCCCCAGGCATCCAATAAGGTGTTTCACTCTTGGTGTTGGGGGGGTATTCATCAAGAGTCGACTCTTTCTCCGGAGGCGTCGTGTTCTTAGACCTGGCGCGGAACGAGATCGGACCACAAGGCCTGGAACTCATGTGTGCCGCACTGGTGCCTTGGCCGGACGGCGGAGATCCATGGTTCAAGCAGAGATGTTCTGATTTTTGCCCATGGGGCCCAATGAGGTGTTCTATATGAGTAGTTCTTCCCATGTTGTGTTCGATCTTGTCAACATGAGATCTCCCAAATATGTTTTTGTTGCCGGTCCCCCCTGTTGCGCAAGGAAATGATTTGTTTGGCAAAGGATAGTTTGACATATTTGACATGTTGAGACATTGGACAGGCACAAGAGGCGCCCTTTGGACAGCAATGTGCAAACAGCAGTAATATTGATGGTCCTAGAGTTCAAAACAGTGCGTCAACCCAAGGTGGAATGCACGCTCCATGGTGCAATCTCGACCGTCCTAAATAGACCGCTGATATAACATGATACAATCAGGATGGAACCCCAAATCCACACGCTTGGTCTTCGGGTTCCATGAGTTCGTTTGCGGGGGGGGGTCTTTGTTGGTCCTTTTTCTGTTTGGCTCCTCAAGAGTTTCTTTCTGTCCTGGGTTTCAAGGAGACGGTCACGGTCACGCCACGGTCACGCCGTTTTGGCAGACCGGTCGACCGAAAAGCTTGACCTCTATAGTTGATTTGGAGGGTCCATCGGCTCACGTGAGTCCTGTGTAGATTCAGGGCTTGGGCAGGGTTTATCACCAACTCCTGCTCTCAAATTGAGTCCCTAGGGATCCACCGGTACCTTCTCAAGTACGGTGATGTGTTCGACACGGATCCAGTAGGTGCCTGGGTCGGGTCCAGTTGTACCTTCGGTTCGGTACGACTGGATCCCTAGGGAGTCTTGATGAGTCTTGTCTCCTCCGTCGACCGCCCCGGACGCCCGACTCCCCACGTGGAGACTCCCCCGCGACCGGCCCTCGACGATCTTTGTTCTTGACTACACCCTGGGCGTTTTGAGTAGCCTCATCCCTTTCCTTCGAATTGCCAGAGTGCCCAGGAAGACGCCACCATTAGTAGCCTCTCTTTGGCCAACAATCGTTTGCAGCCGGAGGATGCGCCGATGCTTTGTGAAAGCTGTTGCTCCTTGGAGAGGATTGGTTGCTTCAGACGGTCGACTCGATTTGAGCAGAAACGGGCGGTTCTTGGTACCGCGTAAGACCTATAAGGATTTGAGACCCCTGACCCGTTTATAGGGTCCAGGAGCGTTTGGGTACCTGTAGCACTGTAGCAACACAAGTACCTGTTCGAACGACTGTGGTACCGAGGGGTTGTTAGGAGCGTTTGGGTAAGTTGAAGCCAGAGTCGCCTGGGCATTCCGGATTCGTGGTTTGTGCGTGGTTGAGTGGCCCAGGTTCGAAGATGGAATGTTTGTATACGCACGGTTTAACAAAGAAGTCTTGCATTTCAAGGGTCGCTAACTGTGCTGAACACCTGTATTTTCCAGTAACTGAAAAGAGTGGGTAGGATACTTAAGACAAAATCGCATTGTACGCTCAGCAGGCATTGAATGCCGTTCCTAGTGAGTGAGACCATGTCCATCTTCGAGAAGCCTGTCCTAAAGAAAAAGCTTGAACCTAGACTTCGAGTCGCAAAAACGGTGGGCTCCTGCGATTTAAATCGACTTCCTCTTAGCGATTGAAGACACACCAGACTTTTTTTTGGGTGCTTCTTGGGGCTAGTCATAAGATATCGGGTGTGGCTCAAGAATCAGGGTCCCCACTATTCAAGGGACCCAATGCACCTAAAATCCGACACCTAGTCCCTATAAAAATCCACGTACCTTCTCAGACTCAGAAGGTGCTTGGACCCTCCAAAAACTATAAATACAAGTGTCTTCAATTATTTTCAAGCTCAGAGGGTATGTGGGTATATACTGTGACTCTATTCATTATTTGCCTATTATTACTATAGACTATAGCCATAATATTATCCACTATTGCTGTCATTTACTGGTCATGGATTCTACCCAACCCACTCCGACACCTACTGCAATGCTAGTTATACGGCATCTTTCTATATTTTTCTCATGAAATCATTCCCAGACACTCCATGTCTGTCATATATGCTTACATTGGGGTGGTTTGGGGGGGTCAATGTAGGCATATATGGCAGTCCCATGGGTCGTGCCTGGGATTGAACTTCACGCTAAATCCGGCCGCAGCGGCGTTCGTTCCTTGGCTTCTGCGGAGGTTCGGTTCGGTCGAAACATGCGGATTGGGTCATGTCAGGCAAGTGCGAGGCCTTGCAGGTGTTACTTCTTCAACAGATCCTCGGCGGGACAGATCGGCAGATCGGCTAACGGGTGACAATTCAGAACGACGTGAGCGGCAGGGTTTGGTCAGATGCTGTAGCGTTTGTTTTCCGCCAGATAGCGTGAGCTATTTGGGTATGTCAATTATAGTAGGAAGAGCTGCGTGAGTGCATGTTCGATGCCGCTGCAGGGTGCCGCTGCTGTGTGCGCTTGGGAGCTTGGGTGCTGGTGCTGCTGCAGGGTGCCACTGCCAGATGTGTGGTCGTGTGCGCTTTGGAGCTTTGTTCGCAGAGGCCCCAAAAAATCTGGAAAACTCGGGGAGGAAGTTATATGCTGCAAAATGAGCCACCATGAAACAGCCACATGGCGCCTTTTGAGGGGTGAAGCCTAGCAGCGGGTCCGTGTTATCGGTGCTGGGATCACCGACCGAGATGGTGTTCTTTGGTGATGGGAACACTGGCAAAATGTAGTCATGGTCGGTTACATTCCTCCTGGGCGGTTTTATGGATTGGGTGTTCTTCTGTTGCAGATCTTTTTGGTTGCAGTTCTGTGACGTGGACATGACTGGGGTATTGGAGGGAACAAGACACGTCCCTCATGTTTGTCTTCTTAAAGTGACAAACATCACCCAACTCGGCCCCGTCCAGACACTTCCCTGGAACTCAGGCCAGCCCAAACTAACCCGGGTGCCAATGGCCGTTCAACGCCCACGCCATTCATGCCCTCCGGAGCCAACCTTTTAGGGGACCAGATCTCGCGAGTCGTCACTGGATAAGACCAGATTTTGGATATTATAGATGGGACATATTCTGCAGGCCACCAGGAAACATGAAACGCTGTGACTATGTTCAGAGATGGTGTGAGCAGAGGCGGAGAAGATTACAAGTCTGCGGAAATCCTGTGTCCGTATTGCAATGCACTTCGATGAAAGGTGTGAACATGTACGCACAGAGGTGTTTCGGATCAGTTGTAGCATTGTAGCAAGTGGTAAGCAAGTCACCTACTCCAAGTGGTGACTCACTTTTGGGAATCTCTATCCCAAACACTCCATGTAGGGAATACTTAGCTAATCAGATAATCTATACATCAAACCCCCTTTCAACCACCGAGGTAGGTGCATTCCCATGCTGGTCCTTCTGGTCGGACGTCATACATCGTCGCTCGCATCTGTCAGGAACGACCTGGGCCTCGTGGGAGCTCAGCACCTCTCGGTGCCCTGGCGCCTGCCGTCGTCCGACCTGCGGGCGCTCCCCACACATCCCTTGATACACATCCTGGCATCAGGTATGAAGGGGAACCAGACAAACTCAGAAAACAAGACTCGCATGTGACCCAAACAGGCTAAAACACAGGGATGAACATGAGACAAGACAGGCAGGACAGTGAATTGCAAGCAGGCATTCGAACATCTGCAAAATTTTGAAAAATGTTCTGCTTGACAAAAGAATGCATCTAATTTGGATGCGGATCGTGTACCATATCATACAGCTTGTGCTTACATGTTGCATTCTATATCTTCCATGTTAGGTTGTATTTTTCAGCAAAAATGTATTTCACTTTGTGATGATATCTGCATTACTGCTTTGTCAGTATCATGCACCATTGGGCAATCTGACATTCTATATGAAATGATTGGAGTCAATCTGGTATTTTCAAAAATTGTCTCGCGCGGAATAGGGATGAGTGGACAAAAGGGTGTATACCTCCGCAGATTGCCTTTGAAACCCTAATTCGTCTCTCTAGACTCTTGGAGTCTTGTAGCTTGTATTTTGGAACAAGACCAATGCCTACCAGGATAGTTTGGTTGACAGGGGGAAGGTCAAGCTACATGGTGGACTGGCGGGCATTGAGGTTTCGTCACAAATCGAGTGTTTCCTCGTCCTTTCCACAGCGCTGGAAATGCGCGATCCACCCTTCCTATACGCGGATCCACGGGAGTTGGATGGTAGTCAATGGACACCCCATATCACCTCTACATTACAAAACACCGGCTGGGGGCCGGCTGGTATGACCACTGAAAACAGGAAAGGCTGGATGCATGTTCAAGCTTTACCGAATACGTCGTCTTTTTGCAGGGCGCATGACCCGGGGTGACATACAAAGCTTCCTAGGCGACAATCAAAGCAGATGGGAATACAACTTCAGTACCTAAAGTTTGTCGTGTTGGGAAGGAAAAACCCGTGCAGAAGAGAAAGTATATTCCATGGAATGTTGCTTGAACTTGCTGCTGCCAGTCCACTATAGAACGACAAGATCATGCCGTGTACGCGTGAAAAACTAGAAACACGACAAGTTTTAACAGAAAAAGGCAGCGGCTTCTTGTACAAGGGGCAGGTTCGGCAGGAAGAGTACTGTTTGGATCGACATCCAAGTTTAATGGTTTTAATGGTGGACTTCAGAATTGGCGAGCTCAGTTACATAAGTTGCAAAATCTAATGTCTCTTACTTGCTTCTAGCTTTTACACAGAGTATAGATGCTCATGATTGCCGAGCGCCCCAACAACTCCTTATCCTCCTCCAATCACCAAGCCTCAAAAAAAGCAGATCGGAACTGCACCAATGCTGAGGAGATGCTGCCAAAGTCCAAGTTGACCGCCCTTGATTTAACAGGAAACAGCTGCTTGGCAGAAAACAACACTCCCATCGTCGCATCTTTTCTGCGAGTTTGGTGTCAGTCTTCAACGGCTTTTGTCCCGACGCATAGGATGGACGGAGGGAAGGGATCGATGTTCCAGTTCTTGTCCTTGTTGACAAGAGGGCATGCCACGGGCTTTCATGGACACTCGCTGTATCCTCATTGCACAAAAAAAACACGCATGTTCGCTAGAATTGGAAACAATCAGGCAACAAACATCATGCGAGTCAGTACTTCCACTTGGACATACCAGGGCTTAGATTTTATCACAGCGATCAACTCCTCCGCCTCCTCATCCTCCTTCCTTCGCTGCGAGCTCCAGAGTGCAGTCGGCACCGGCCTGAACTGCGAGCACCAGATCGCAGTAGGCACCACCAGACCTGGGCCAGATTGAATTCCTGAAGAGATGCCAAGTAGATTGCCAGAATGCACGCCAGATAGAACGCCAGAAGATATGCAAGATAGAACGCCAGTATATGTGCAAGATAGAATGCCAAAACTTGTGCCATAGACTGCCAACAGGTGTGTGCCAGATGGAACGCCCGAAGATATGTTAGATAGGATGCCAGTATGTATATATTCTTGGTGATGTTGAGTCAATATAGCCGTCGCTGGGAATTACTCACAGTTATTTTTTGCTGTAAAACTATATGTCCAAACATTTTTGATGCCCGATAGGCCCGCCCGGTAGTTGTCTATAAATATGCAATTTGGATGTGTTCCGTGCATTTCCATGCATGTTCTGAATAGGACTTAGTCTGGGGTAAATCATGGAAGCTGACGACTGCTGGAGGTTACCATGTTCTAGGGAAGCATTGACGTGCCATGCACTTTCCTAGAAACATGGCATGTGGGTATCCAAGAAGATGACACCTTAATTGCCCGTGTTACTTTTTTGTCGGCCCCACCCCAACGCAGTACATGGTTGTGCTTTCTACATTCACTGCACCGAGTTCCTCGCGAAGCTCAAGCAGGCTATGCGCACTAGCGTCTCAGTACAGCTCGGTGCTCTAATCCGAAGAAACCTAAAGGATCCCGATTGGTTTTAGGAGCTCATTGCCAGTGTTTCCTCTTGGGCACAAGAGAAAGATATGCGACGTCCAAAGTGGCATGCAGTTGTTGTCTCGCGATTTTTTTCTGAAGCGCACGCCTGACTGCGCCAAGTTGCAGCAAGCGGAAGCTGTAGTGTCTCTCGCATCCCAGCGCAAGACTTGTGATTGCTGGCTTAAGCGCGCGCAGTGCAGTTTGTGAGTTGGGCCGGTGGAGGCTCGCTAGTTACATCTCCAGCAGGGCTTATCACTACAGTCCTCGACTCGCGGCACCCTGTATTGGACATTTCACCCAGCGTGACTGGAAGGGTCATATCTCATTGTCACTTTGTGCACCCAGTGTTAGGAACTCGTCGACGGTCTTTTTTGTTCAGCGGGGTATGGGGGCACTGATCCGGCCACGGTAGGTGAAAACAAACCAACCGCATGGAAAAACGGGTTTCGCCTTGATAGGTTTCACAACGGGAACATGTTTAGGTTCCGACGGGTTTGCCCAGACGCTCTTGCAGAGAATCCAACCCACTGAACTTGGAACCAATGGACAGTCCAAAGTCCCTATGTGTGGTTTCATAGGGCTAAGATTTTGAAACGTTTTTTCTAGCCTTTGTAGCAATTGTTTGGGGTGTGCTAAATGTGTTAAAAAAATGTTAAGCACTACTTGTTTTTGGTTTTCTTGCTACGCCCCAGCACAAGAATATACCATATATGCAACCGATGCATGCCAATGTACAAAATCATTCGGGATTCCGTGGGTGAGTTTGACAGCTGAGCCGACTGAGGCATCGGCGACGGGGGGTTAGGCTACCTGGCTGCTGCATTGGAGACACTCAGCATTGGAATGCTTCGGCCAAATGTGTTCGATGTAGTTTTTCAAGGGGCCAACAGGTCTAGTTCCCAAGTGTGGGATCTTATTTACTTTAGTTGCATGTTAAGTTATTGTGTTTATGTTTGATGTCGACCATGACTGGGACTTGAATGTCGAGGCACTGGTTGGAACATGTTGTAGCCAATGGGCCAAGCAGAAAAACACAAATGACGGGACCACGGGTCTATTTAGGTCTATAAATTGTAGATGTTCTTCACCACGTTGAGTTGCACCTCGACTTGTTGGGGGGGGGGTTCCTTGTTTTCGACCTGATTTGGAGGCGTCGAGCTGCAGGATATTGAAGAAATCGTTCCACCACAGTAATCCCATCCATCAACCTTTGGAACCTTTGGCACATGTCCGTGATGGAATGCACTGAATACAGGTTCCCTGTCTTCACCAATCATCCCAATCATCAAGATTTATATACATGGCAGCAGGTCCGCTGTCTCCCCACCTGGCGTGATTGATTGGGATTCACTGGCGAATGCGTTGGACGCTGGATTCGCTTCCGACCTGGAAGGCCCACAAAATAGAAAGGCTCGAGACTGATTTGACTTCGTTTTTTGCGTGTTTTTGCCATAAATGTTCCAGAAGGTTCGACACTCCAGTTAACGCATAGCGCAAAGCGCTGGCGCAGCAGTCGACAGTTTGCCAAGTGTTCCAGAAGTGAACTCCAATCCGAACTCTGAAGATGGCCGCCTCAGGAAGACAAGGCTCGCGGCTTTGGGCCTAGGTCACAACTCCATCACGGATGAGGCAGGGCGGCTAGGTTCGCGCCGGCGCGCACGATTGGGGGGGAGATGGTGGATGCGGTATTGGTGGCCACATCGAGGGAGTTTGTTTCATTACGGTTCAATCAAGCAGGAACAGCAGGATTGTACATGTAGGGTCTATTATCTTAGTAGTTTGGGTGCTATTTTCAGAGGTATGCGGAGGATTCAGCATGTGGTTTGGAAAGAGTTGGATCTCAATACTTGATGATTGGTCAGTCATCCATTGGGCGGTTGAACCAATCACTGTATAAATATTGCAAACTGAGATGCCTACAACTTAGTTTGCTTTGGGAAAGCGCGGGTGTACGAACTGCACATCATACCTGGTGTATCCAAAACTTCATCCAGACTGCCAGAGAGCTCTTAGCTCGATCCTCCATAGCTCAGCTTAAGTCAACCCCCAGTGTGGTGGACTCCTGCTTTGGCCACGACGCATGCATCCTGCTTAACGGCAGTCGGATCTGACCCGCCGGGCCTTCCTTCGAACCCCGGGAGGGAGCCGCGTCGCGCGGGTTAAGACGCGCCGGTCCGGAGCGCGGGTTAAGCCGCGCACGCCTTGACTTCCATGTGGTTTTTGTTACTGTTTGGAAGCCATTAACTGATTGGAAGGAGCCATGGAAGTCCAAACAGATGGCCATTTTAAGCCATTAACAGGCTTAAATATCATTGTTTGGTTGATTAACAGAGGGGATACCCCCAATTGATCATCAATAGGATCCAATGATGGTAGTGCCTGGCACCGACCGCTCTATACTTCCCAAGTACGAACGGAAAACATGACATCACCGTTGGCTTCGGGGCAGGGCGTGAAGGTGTTCTGCGCTGCGAAGTGGGGCTCTTTGCAGTCTTTGGAACTCATGGGGAATGCAATTGGCCACTTGGACTGCCGGCCGTCTGCCAGGCTGAGGTGTTTTCCAAAGCTGCCGAATCCACAATGGCTGAGCTGTTACCATAGGTGGGTTGCAGATCATATCTGGGAACCCCTGACGCAGTGTTGATGGGAATTCCTGGCTACTGCAGCTTGAATTCCTTCGGGGCACCTGATTGTCCCAGAGCCATCCATGCACCTGCCCACCTTGCGTGGTGTCCCACACGAACCGAGGTGATTCAGGCGCCGAGTTATTGAAGTCTTCGGTGGTCAAGGAACCACAGCTCCAGGTGTCTCGACACGAGGTGATTCAGGCGTGGCAGTGGGGGGCTCCACACGTTCTTCGCACGTCCTGAAGGAACAGCTGTGACCCGGGAGAACCACCTGTGACCGACTGGGGGGGCACTGGTGGTGGCACTGGCGTCGCGTCCGGACTGCGACCGGATCCGCATCGATCGGCGGATCGATCCGAAGACCCTGGTCCAGGAGTGTCCAGGTATGCAACATCATGTATAACCATATACCATATACATATAATATATATATATTTCCATAGTATTTCAGTTTTATAAGTATATCTATATATGCACATGTCATATTGTATTGTAATAAAGTATTTGTTTTATTATATCTATTGATATTTATTGTATTTTGTTTATGTGTATATATTGTATATTTGTATATCGTATATTATGTTATGTTTTAACATTATATAATATATATATAACTTATACATGTATGTATTTGTTTGGAAGGTTGTTGAAAATAGGACATCAGACTATATATTATTTTCCTCCATTAATTAAGGAACGCCATGTGTTTTGCACGATTTGCTGGCTGCGTAGCAGTCGCCACCCTGGTGTTCTCACAGTCGCAGACCCTGAATGAAGGCCAAACTGGTACCAAGAGACCCACCAAGATAGCACTATCTTCGGTGATGAGGTTTCCTTAGAGAAGAGTCACTCGGGTCCGGCACCATTCTATCGCTCATGTAGAGATAATAAACATAATGTTGAGGTCCGGTCCCCACACCTGCCACGGTGCCGAGGTTTTGGATCTCTTGCACCTGGGCGGCCCTGCCGGTCCTCGGAGTTCGGAAAAACCGAAGCTTCGCCCGGAGGCCGTCGTTCGCGGTCGAGTGACCATCCGGCGGCCGCTCCGGCCGGAGTGCGAAAAGGATTCCCGAAAAGACGACGGTCCATGGGACTAGATGACCCAGACACGACGTGTCTGGGACTGCCAGTCCGGACTGCCGATCAGTTGGGATGGTTTTAGGGATCAATTGATTGGCATATATGGCAGTCCCATGGAGTGTCTGGGTGATGTTCGACTCTTTACGGATCCCAATGGGATGTTGACCCTGGGGTCAATGCAGCTACTGTATTCCGTCTGACTGGGATCGGTCAAGGGCTCAACATGTGAGACCGGTGATAGCACCAGACCTTTCAGCTAAATCAATCGTACAACAACTTGTGAAGATGCTGGGAAGTTGAAGAAGACCTTGGTCCAGCAGTTCCAAAGGTTTTTTGTCCCAAAGTGAGTGGATGTTCTGGGCACCCCTACCTCGTGTTTTGTTAGGTTTTGTTTCCGCTACTTGCAGGATCCCTTCTGTAATAATGCGATCCCAATGTATGCCATATACCTGGGAGGGTTTCGGCATGTAACTCTTGTTGGTCACAGATTGCTCGCCGGGCCCGAAAATACACATCCTCAAAATGGCAGATTCTGCACCAGAACAGGCGGAGGGTTGGTCCTCGTCGAGATATGTCGCTCATCTCAGGTACAACAACCTCTCGAGCGAAGTGTTGGAAGAGATCGAAGCGTTGATCAAGGAGAGGCAAACCTCCTAGGAGCTGCCACTACCTCAACACCGTGATCGAGGCGCTGGACTCTGGCGGGGATCGGCTAGGCCACGCGATGGCTGGGTTTTCGGCGAGGCCCAGCCCGGTTTGGTGTGGCCAACTGGTGAGTTTTTCATGAAAAAGTGTGATTTCTCACCTTCCACAGCAGCCTCAGACTCATTTTTCTGACCCAGGTTTGTTTCATTTTCGGCTTCCAGTTTTCGGCTTCCAGAAGTGTCTTCCTTTGACGGTCACCTGTTGCGCGAATGTTAGCGAATGTTTGTTTTGGTTTGGGAGAGGTTTCGCTGCCCCTCTTGGGGGTACCACGTGCAGCAATGCTACTGTTTTTTGTCGGGTTTTACTTCGCACAACTTAAAACGAAGTAAAATCCAACTCTAGCAATACCAGTTTGCCCAGCGAATTGATTGCAAGTCCTACCCTAGGGATCCACTACCTTCCCAGAAGGCACGACTGGGCCTTCCAAGCCTACATCAATAGTCTCCAATCATCTTCTCAGAATGTATGGTGGATCCATAGGGCTAGATTATAGTTTGGGGCTTGGATGAATGACTATCATCACTCTCTGAAGAAGCCTATGGACGTCCAAACACCCGGGCGACCAACCAGTCAGTGCCTCCAGCGCCTTCAGTGGACATGGATGAATTGTAAGCCCCTTGCGGCAAGGCCATGACTTTCAACCATGTTACTACCATTTCCTACACACCCAGCAGGCGCCGTCTCCGACCTCCGAAAGCGAGCCGCTTTTGGAGCTTCCGTTCACGACCGCCGCAGCCGATCTCTTCCCGCACGCCGTGCGGGCGGAACTCCCCGGTGGAACCCACCTCGTCTCGCAGGTCGGTCCTCGCTTCGGAGCGCAAAACCGGCTTCAAAAGGGTGGTCGGTCTCCGGTCGTGGGGGAGACACAGACGTTGGTTAGCCCCCCCAACATGGAAAATGGTCATTTGGAAGACCAGGCAGCTTCCTCAAGGAAGCAGTGTTTTCTTTTTTCAGGTTCCATATGTTTTCATGTGAATCTTCCAGGGCGTAGCTCAATTTGCCATAGTATGGAGTTTGGGGTTTATCCTGCCAACAAGCATGGAAGTGGAGTTCAACGGAACATGATTGTCCTTTGGGGGCCATTGTCCATCAACTTCCACCATGAGGACGTTGGAGGGAGGGTTCACATGTCAATCAGATGAGAGAAGTGGGACCTGATCTCTCCAAAGGTTGGGCCCATCCCCACATATGTTTAAAACAAACAAGCAAATACAAGCAATAGCAACAAAAAACAACATTCAAGGGACAATACCAGACATTACCAGACAAACAGATAAACACATCAAACATAGACAGACAAACAATCAAGCAAAGAAAACGCAAATCCAAAGTCAAGCAAACAGCTCCCCTGCGTCAGACCGGATCCGGGCCCGGCCCGTCAAAGGTGAGTCAAACACTCAAACACCAAACATCCCCCAGCCCAGAGGCGACCCTGGAGCCGAACCAACTGCTACGGTTTGGTTCAAAACCCTGCTTGTGAGGGTTGACCCTCACGTGTCATCACTGTAGCTGCCACTCAATCTGCCGCCCAGCCGAGTCTCGATGGCTAAGTGTGCGAGTGAACTGATGAACTCATGTCCATGTCGATGGCCAAGAGGAGCTAATTAGGACCTTCATAGCAGGTGGAGTTTCGACTGGCTGCACAGCGGGATGTATATTAAGGCTTCAGTTGTTGGCGAAAACCATGGTTGTTTGACGACTTTTGATATTAGGTGAACAGAGGTTACTAATACTAATTGATTATACTAACACTAATACTAATACCAACGCCAATACTAATAATAATATATATACTATATAATATATACACTTACTACTTCAAAAGAACTGTCATGATATGGAGCACATCATCAGGCACTATCATTACTTCCCAAGTACGGCTCTGTTGCATGACAAGGTGACAAAGTGTATTTGCTCTTCTGTCATGCACCACTACTTCATCATCCCTGAAGTTGTTCAACCACAGTGAACGCGGTGGTCACCGGCCAAAGTGCTGCCGGAGAGCCCGCAAGTCACGGCCGCGATTGTGTGCTGAAGCGCCATGGTCTTGCAGCATTGGGCTGAGGTAGGGAGCGTTCTTTGGCATGGGCGCTTTGTGAATCGCATAATTGGATGCGTGCGCAGGTGTGCCTGTGTGTGTGTGTGTTTAGCTGATTTGTTTCTTGCATGTTGCGAGAAGCGAATTGTGTGTGTGTTTTTGCTCCTTCCAGCTTGATTCAGTGCCCAAGTCCGGCAGTCCATGCCCTTCCTGTTTTGATGACGTGGTTTTGATGTAGGACCAGAGTTTTGGCAGCAAGTCGTGTTGCGTCCCTGGAAAAAATGTCCAGGAAAATCGTGTTTGCGTCCACTGGATGGTGTTCTCGATCTTCGCCACTCTCGTGTCCAGCGTCCGGATCCGCCAGGCGTAACGTCGGTGCGATCCAACCTCGGTGCGTCACGTCGTGCGATCTGCGAGCCGCAGAACTTGGCTTGTGTGCCTGCTGCAGATCGAGACGATGGTACCGAGACAATGCCAAGACTTGTTCTTGAAAATGATTAAGGAGATACCTGATGTTTCGACGGGTGCTTTTGTAGAAAATGGTTGTGTATATATCTCAGTACATTCAGATCGCCTGTCTTCTGAACAAACACACACTGAATCTCGCACAGACCCTTTGCTTACATAGAGTAGGACGCGTCGGTATTCTTCAGAAGTGGGGAAACATTCCTTCAGTACTGCCTTTCAAGGCTTTATGCAAGATGCTCCTATTCTGACCGAGCTCGGTCCACTGAACCGGAGGCGGCTGGAACTGCAGACCTGGCGTCGCCCCTGACGGCCCGGCCTGGCACTGTGAAGAGCTTTCCCACAACCTTCGCCGGGGTGGCCCAGCAGCCGGGTCTTCGGAAGTTCTTGCCTTCCATCTTCGAAAGATTGAATATATTGGTATAATATTCTATAACATTATGTATATATATATATATATGTGTGTTTACTGTTTTTTTGTTATATAGCATGGCCTTGAGGATTACATTATATCTACTATATGGATGTTCCTTCTTTTCATGATGAAGAGTAAGTGGGATTCCCAGTTTCATTCTTGTTTATGCTTGTTGGAGGGAGAGTAAGACCTCTTGTCTTGTTTCTCACCCTTTTTGAACCTAATTGATCAATTATTCTATATATAAATTATAAATATACTATGTATATATAATATACTCCTCGATCCCGGCTTTGTGTTCAGCTTCCCCTTACTTTTTGAGAAGTCGTGACCAACCGCGCGTCGTGACCAACCGCTTGATCCCTAAGAGCAAGTCTTCTGTTTTTGAGATGTTGGACAAACAAGTCCAAGCATATTAGCATTTATTTGCCTATATTGTAAATTCAGGGTTTGGCATACGTGGGACTCTAAGGTAAGCAGCTTTGTTACTGTAACAGACATGCCTGCATGGTTTGTATTGGCAGTCCTCACTGAACCTTTGCAGTCCAAACCCCTGCATGACAGGTCAACCAAAGACCTGAACCTCACTCAACCTCCAGGGATTCCGGCAGTTCACCCACATGTATGTCCAATCACAGTGCTTTTCCGCAATGGTCCTGGCAAAAGCCATTTCTTGAGCCCTGTTCGGCTGCGACCCTCCTGGCAACCAGCCACCCCAAGCACCGAACCTGTCAAAATATGGGCCAGGAGCCCTAGAGAAGACCCCGTGATGACTCTTCGAAACTTGGCGCCTTTGCGTGCCTTTGATACCAAACGGTCGACTCAACGCGACTTTGTTCACCACATGTACTCCTTTTTATTTCGAGCCATGGAAGAGTCGACTCCTCCTTGAAGACGGATAGAAGCCACTTAGCTTCACACAACTTTACCAAGTGTTTTGTTTTTTGTTGTAACGGTATCTATCTATAGTCCCGGAGCAGCATGAAACAAATCACGTATTCGCAAACTTCAACACAAGATGGGTCACTTGCCTCAAATAACGGCCATAGCCCTCAATACACATGTTGCCGGTTCTCTCACTCTGCTGTTCCAAGGATTCCTTGGACGACCTCTGGCAGTTGGGATCTCGGATGTTGGAATCCGCCATCGGTACCCAGGAACATAGTGGATAACCTGAAACCTTTTTGGGAGATTCGGGTTTCCCCACTAAAGAACAACAGGTGCAGAAACGTGAGCCTCTATTTTCCAGGTAAACTGAGGGGTTCCGGTCAGGGCCTTAGGGCTTTCCACCTGATCTGGCTCAGCGGCCGAGGTGAATCCGAGCTTGCTTGTGATTGGAAGCCGGATCACACCTAAACAGAGCCGTCAGCCACCCTCCAGTCATCCTGACAAGCTCGGAAAAAACCTTGTTCATCCCAATTCCCAACCACCCCAACAGAGCCGCTCTCGCTTTGGACTCGGAAAACGATGGAACGCCTGCCCAGGCCATCTTTGCTACATCTAAATGTACATTTGGCGGTGGTTGGTTTCAGGGGTGAGTGGCACCAGGATACCTTTGCTTGACCATATACCTGCAGGTCGAAGTTGTTCGCTCTATGGACTGGTCGGGTTGCCTGATGGACTGGGTTTCTCACGACCCATCCCCATGACATGGCGGTTTTCAAGCGTCATTGGCACCTGGAGCACCAGACCTCGCCCCCGCCCGCGCGCGCGAGGTTGGAGAAGAAGCTCTTGGAGCCTCCCCAGGAGTCAGTCTCGGAGGAGATGGGTCCGGAGCTCGGAGCTCGGGCGGCTCGGGGGTCTCCAGACCACCACCGGGCAGTCTTGGAGTCTTGGTCTGGAGATGTCTGGAGCGTTAGGCTGGTTTGTTCAAACCTGGGACATCCAGGGAGTCGCAGCTTGATGTTTGTGGTGAATCCCAAAGAACCGTGGTGGTTTTACGATGTTTTTTTAACTGAGGTTGAGACTAGAAACGACAGGTCAAGCATTTTTGGAAGGGTCTTGGAAGGCATATAGGGAAACATGGGAGTTGAAAAGATGGTTGTTTGGAACGGAAAACAGATGAACACTGATATCCCGCTCTTAGTCTAGAGCAGAATTGTGTTGCGGTTGACTTAGTCTTGGATTCCTTTCAGAAATCAGTTCTTACAGCACCAACTATCTGCAGGTGCCGGTCGCGCTTGATGGGAAGGCCATTGCTTCATGCGGTGGGTGCGTCGACCGATCCGCTTCAGCTTGCGACAGAAACCCGATCCGGCCCGATTCAATGAGGACGTTCACATGGACATCGAGATCCCTCCCAGTCAAACCTTCAGCACTTGACACAGTCGACACATAGAACAACTCTGTTTTCATGAAGACCAGATCTACCTCTTCAGACAAGGGGGACCCGGACTTTGTTGCGGACAGGACGCCATCTCAATCAAAAACTCCATTTTACTTGGATGTGTTCCCATGTGCATTGGGATTTTGGACCCCCCAACCCCCCCCCAAAAAATATCATACAAGTCAGCAAAAAGATATTAACAGCGTCGACGGTCAATTTGGTGGGGGGGGCTCCAGAAATCGGTTCATTCACAGGCTTTGAGCCCCCACCAAATGACGGTCCCAGGCTTCAGCAATCTGTTCATTCACCCTATAAATCGCTGTCATCCCAGGCTTTTCGCACGGCTCCAGGGGGGAGACCGACAGTGGGACCGCCGTGACCCCCACTCGGCCACCCCACGGTGTCGACCGCTTCGGGAGAAGCGAAGCGAAGCGCAGGAGGCGGACGCTCGAAGCCAGGCGAGGCACGATGGAGATGCGAGGAGCAGGGTTTGTTCTTTAACATAGTTAGTTGGGAGCTATACTGTGTATTAGAAGCCGTCATCTTCTGTTGACCGGTCCAAAAAGCCCAGCAGGTGTTGTTTTCAGCTGCTGTTGGACCTCCCCTGTGAAGAATTCTTGACACTGCTTGGGTGTTCTTTTGAGCTTGCACTGTCCAGGCCACAGCCAATGAGACCTTGCCTCGCATCGAGGGTGACACCTTTTCCCTGGAGGAGGAGCCGGCCAGAGGCGACCACCGCTCACGCGCGCGAGCGAGCGCTCCTTTGCGCCGAATCCAAGTGTTGCTCTGCGCCTTTTGGGCGTTCCATTTGGAAATTGCGACATGGTCCCCTTCTGGGGACAAACTCGGAATTCCTGCGATTGATGTGCGTTTGATTTATTCTTTGAATGCTTTATTCTGGTGATTCGTGTTTGCGGCTCCGTGGGCATGTAATGACACGCGTTTGCACACTCGAAACAGCAGGGCGGTGCGAGTTTAGGTGCTTTTTTACTGCGCCTCACTTCGCGATTGGGACCTCTCGGAAGTGCACAAAACACTGCGCCGGCCACGTACTTTACACGTTGGCATGAGACTCTCACACACAATGTGAGCAACCGGGCTGTTTTCGCTTGGGAATTTCCATATAGTCGTGGGACGTGCACGAAACACTGCGCCTGTTGTGTATTTTACACGTTTGCTGGACGCGCTGACATGCATTCTGAGGCGATGCACGGTTTTCGTTTCAGAATTTCCATATACTCCTGGAACGTGAGTGGTGTTCCTGTTGAAAGTGCAAGCGCAGCCCAAACAGAAAGGACAGCATGTGTTTGCGCTGAGCTCCTGGTGAGATTGTCTTCTTGCCAGCATGGTTTCACTGCAGGAAGAAAAGGCCTGTCATCAAGCGTGGCAAGGTGAAGCCCAATGTGCACCATGGACGCGTGTTGGTCGTTGTGCGGCGTGAGTCAAAGAGATGTGTTGCTATGCCTCTCCGTCCACGCAAAGCTCAAGAGGGAGCACCTTGCCCTCCTGGGACCAGTGCAGAAGCTAGAAAGGCTTTGAGAAAGCAATGCTTTGTCTTGTCTGACGCGCACAGACGGTGGCAAAGCCTTAGTGAGCCAGTTCGGAGCGCATGGGATTCCGGTCGGCCCTGCCCGACGCCACATTGATGAGATGACCCCAGTGCCAAAATGAAAAAATGTTCCTTGATCCCGAAGCAACTCAAGATTGTGCTGAAAGCGAAGACCGTGGAAATTGTTTAGGTGGAGATAACCAAACAGAAAGTGGAAGTTCTCGAACTAAAGCTCAGATGAGACGACAAAACTTGCTGGGCAAAGTTGTTCCTATAATTAGTATGTACCACGTGACTCAGCTGGCAATTCGTTATCGATACCGGTTGAAGAATCCAGGTCTTGATGCAGTCCTTGAAGCTTTCAAACAATACCGAACGAGACTGGCACGTTGGACGTAGTGTGGCTGCACAACTGAAAAGAGCTCATTGACCGGGATGTTTAGGCGGGCTAGAACCCACTGCAAAAAAATCAATACGAAAACACTCTGAAATCGTTTTTTTAAGCAGAACTGCATGTGGTCGGGCGCGTCGTTACAGGCCCGCCGAGCGTTTTTTTTGAATAATAAGTGTTCGAAGGAACTTGTTCGCGTGAAGCAGTCAGAAGTTCACCAGGCAAGAGCCAGCAAGGGCCAGACGTCGTGCACACCGCGTTTCCGATTTCTTCGCTGCCTTCTTCCGTTTGCAGGTCAAGCTGTCAACATGGTGAGGTCTTGTCTTCAAAGTTCTTTGGCGCTCAAACAGGCGCCGCAACATGTGCAACGAGTGGACATGTGTCGGATGTGTTCCATTTGTGCAACACTTTTGGGACATTTGTGTTTTTTCTTGGTGGAATGCTTGATAATCTGTGTATTTTCTCTATGGATGAGTTTGTTTCTGGGGAATTTTGGTTTGGTCTTACATTTTCTTCCGGCTCCTGGACACCCAATCCAAGCATTACACAGAACAGGAGATTAGCAGGTTTGTTTGCAGTGTTCTATGTGGAATTATTTTTGTTCAACATTGGTTCCCTCCCCAAGTCTTCGTCCGTCGACCCTTCTACCGCGCGTCTAGACCGGCGTATTTTTTTTTTCGTCGCCCGGAGTCGAGGCGCTGCAAGACGAGTCCATCGACCCCTACGAGATGAAAGGCATCCTGAGGAACTTGGGCCGTGCCTCGGGAAGGAATGAACTTGAGCATTGGCTGGAGGAGGTTGAAATCGTGTCGTCTCAGACCAGTCAGCACTTGGATTCATCCCGCCACGGGTCATTTCATGTTTGCGGTCATTTCATGTTTGTATCTCGGAATCGATGAACATGTGGTGTCATGTTGTACGATCGTGTGGCACCCCAAAATGACTAGATTCGCCAGTCAGTTCCAATTGTTGTTGTTTGATTTTATTTGATGAATTTTGTTTTCAACGCGTTGCTAAAATTTCAAAGGCAGGTGGAAAAAAGGCGAGATTACAAATGACATCAAATAAATGACCATCTGAGGGAGTTGCTGAAGCCCTTCATCCTTTTGGGAGAGAATTTCAGGTATAGAAGATCTACATATGAAGATCGGGGGTGTCCTATTGCAACAGTTGGTAAACAATTGCCACTATTTTAGGGAGAGGCCTTTACTAACCATCACAATCCACTGCTACAGGGAATAGCATAATATACCGCTCAATATGAAGATCTATAATATAGCTTTGATGGAGGAGTGAGTCAGCATCCAATCGCTTCGGCTACCAGCAGATCCGATGATGTCATATCCCAGACACTCGATGTATGGAAGTGTTTCCTAGCTTGTCGTGGTGGTGATAGTGGTGGTGGTGGTGGTTTCATCGGTCAATGTTGGTATATAAATATTCCATTCCCACTCGGGTGTGGCTGGGTATTTGGGGTGTGGAAGGTTCATTCAAGGACAATGTCTCCACCCGACTTCGGTACCCCATTGCTGTAGAAGGACTGCCCACGACAGCAAGGCTGGTGTTTGGGGACGGTGGTAAATGGATGATGCATTGTATCCGATGGCTGATGGCAAAACGTTCAATTTAAATTACCAGGTTGGGACGAAGTTGTGGGGTTGCTTGCACCAAACATGTGCTCCTGGTCCTTTCCATTATATAGCCTGAGAAGATGTGTGAAAACAGGTTCTGAGGGGAAGAGAATCGGTTTCTGGAACTACACTCCTCCAAAGGAACACAGCCAGGCCGAAAGTACAAGGAGCTCACCGGGTGGGGACGGCCTGATGAAATGTGATTCATCTAGACTCGCACCAATCAAGACATGCGAAGCAATCAGCTTCCCAGCTGGTAACGGTAAGAACATGATATATCTTATACTTTACTTAAGCTATTTCCGGACTGCTTGCCTCGATCTTTCTGTTTTTGTTCAACACTCAGTGACTCAGCACCTCTTTGTTTCGGAACTCAATAGCTGTGGCGCTTGCCCAGGTTGCTCCGATGGAGGTGTCCGGGTGTTTGGCCTGCGGCGGGCATTGGCCGGAGTGGGTCGTCCATGGCCGAAAGAGAAGGAAGGCGCATTCACATGTTCCAGAACCTTCCAACAGGTGGCTTTTGGGATGTTTCTTGGACACCCTTAACCTCTAAGAGGCTATTTATTCACCCCTTGGTGGAGGGTTCAGAATTCCTAGGGTGTTGTCCAGTAAACCAGTATAGCTTTCTCTGTAAAAAGAGAATATCGCGATGTGCTCAAATGTCCGCCTGCAACCGAACCATCATCATCCACTAGTGGGATATACCGATATACCACAAGTATTCCTGTGTATCACTGGTCTGGGCCTTTACCACCTAACAAAATTTTGTTTGTGTTATATATTAAACTGAAGAGCAGTCTACAGTGTGCGTTCCAGACCTTTGTGTGTGTTTAGCCTATTTTGAACACATCAGGTCTTGAAAACAAGAGGGGCCTTAAAGACCTTTGTGCAAATGATGTTCAAGTGTCTTCCTTTTATGGTCATGGGTGACCCAAGGACACATCCTTCCATTTGAGTTGAGTCTTGGAGACGCAGCTTCTTAAATTGAACAGATATGAAAAGAAACACATGTTCTTCTTATTTGCGTTTTGTTTGTTTCGGCCACCACCACCTTGACGCACGTCATTGACTCCCGTCCCTGCGTCAGGCTCCTCACTGGTGCGACAGCTCTTTATTGGCCAGGTGCGACAGCGGGGGCTTGCAGGAAAAATGGTGTCTAAAGGAAGAAAGGTCATAGAAGAAAAGGAAAAGAACGGTCTAACGGAAGAAAGGTGTAAAATAGGACAAACGGTCTGAACAAAGAAAAGAAAGAAAGGGCTAAAGGAAGAAAGGTCAAGAAAACAGAAAGCAACTCTTTTAAAGGAAGCAAGGTCGAAAAAACAAAAAAAAACAGACAAAAAGACATGTAAAAAAGAAGCCAGGCCTTAGAAAGGAAATCGAAAGGTCCAAAGGAAGAACGGTCTAAAAAAAATCAAACAAACCGTTTGCAAAAATCCTGTCTTATAGAAAAGACACACAAACAATAAATAGCAGAAACGAAAGAAAGGTTCAATACAGAAATGTCTAAAGGAAGAAATTGTTTGTACAAAAAAAACTGATGGAACGCCTTTTTGGGTGAGGAAACGATGAGTGAACAAGTCTCACGCCGCCTCCGTTTTGGACATGGCCAGAACGAAACGGCCGACCGGCTGGGATGACCTCTAAGGGCTTAACGTCTTTGTAAACTGCGCAGCTAAGACGTTGCAACACACTGTATATAATAATGAATCGACATTTCTCTTCATATAATGTTGTATCTTAAATAGTAAAATCTGTCCCCCTAGGAAACAATCAAGCGAGTATGAATAGTATCCCGGCCACAAAACAATTAGTAGTATTGGTGGCAGTAGTGGTAGCAGCAGCAGCAGTAGGAGTAGGAGTAGGAGTAGTAGTAGTAGTAGTAGTAGTAGTAGTAGAAGTAACATCATGATTCAAGCAAACCAGAGAAGAGTTAAGTAAGGATTTCAGAAGGGCAGCAATAGCAGAACAATAACAAGTTTTTCTTTACCTTTAGGGCTCCAAGTTTGTTTATTAATCCAACCCTCTAAACAATTGATGTTATTCACTTCCCCTGTGCTTGTGTACCACCCCTTGATTTTTTTGGAGCAATGACAGCAATGAGTTCGATGATTCAAGCAAACTTCAGAAGAGTTAAGTTAGGAATTAAAATGGCAGCAATAGCAGAACAATAATTAAGTTGCCGTGGTGGTGGTGGTGGTGATGGTTGTGGTCTGAATCAATAACTAACTAGACAAGACAATTAGACATAGAACGCCCTGGCTGAATTAACTGTCTATTCTTCCCTCCCACTAAACTTTTCAGCATGTTGGAATTGTTTGGCAACTATTTTTACTATTCCCTCCCACTTGACCCATTTGGATCCGACATTAATATGAAATAACTAGATTGAAACAGTATGAAATAGTCCGTTTCCGATGACTGAGACAGCTTCATCGTGTTCTTTTCAGATTTGATTTTGCAGATTGAAGTCATCAACTTGTGAACTGTATAACTATATACAGAGGGGCAGCCAGTGCAAGTGTACAGATTTCACAACAAGCACAGAGTCATGACCCCATGAGCGAGTCAATCCCTTTGGCCTACCCCTTTGCTACCCTGAACTCGACTCTTCAGAGAAGGTTTCGTTTGACATGAAATGCACGACTTGTTCGCACCCATGGAGGAGGAAGTGGATTCGTTCAGATCTGGTCACTCCCTAAGGATCGACTGCCACCTTCTCAGAAGGTACTTGGGCCCCCCAAAGCATCAACTGCGTCTCCCTGCTCACCTTCTCAACCAGGTATTTGGATCCATAGGGCCTGAATCTGACGGAGGAACGGATTGGGACTCAAGACACACGGTTCTGCAGGAGGCACCCTTCTCCTTCCATGGCCAATTACCTGGAGATGCCCAGCAGAAGATCAACGCCATGAAGCGCCTTGGGCCGGGTGAGTGGAACGCGGACGAGCTCGTCTCAACCCCGCAGACCACATAGAAATAGATGCTTTGCTGACCGAGCGTTTGGCTTTACAAGATTCAGACTAGGCATACCTTGAGAGCGGGTAAAGTGATTTTTTTTTGTAGACCAAGTGTGTCTTACCACTATACCGGTTCTGTGCTCCAAACCCATCACAATATGTCCCATGTGTTTCAATGTGTGTGTCATCTCCTGTCTGCTGAGATGGGTCTGGCTCAAGAAGTCTGAGCCACGTGGGAAAACCATGGCGGTGGATGCGCCAAATTCCCCGTGTTCAGAACACGATGGATGGGAATTGGTAGCTAAAGACTTCTTGTTGTCCTCTCAAGAGGATTCAGATCAGACTTTGGAAGCTGAAGCTTGCAAGAGTGAAAGTCATAGCAAGTGTACCACTAGCAGCGGCAATGATGAGTCTCACATGGACACAAAGGTCCCAGGTGATCTCCCCTCTCCCCAACGCTTGTCCGGCTTCATACTAAGATGTATGAGGTTCCCAGCCAAGACCGTCCTGATAGAATGAGAAACCCTACCCCGGCCCCAACACCACCCGTCCTGAGACCCATGTGTGTTCCACCACACACACAGGCTGGTTTAAAAAGTGTGTTCCTGGGGGCAACAGGTTGTTCCGGTGGTGTTCCCAAGTGTAGTCTGACTGTACTCCTGACTTGGTTATGCCTGGTAGCTCCTAACCTCAGACATCTGCGGACATATCAGGTCCTAAGGAAAAGTGTATTCCAGAGTGTATTCCAGAGTGTATTCCAGAGTGTATCCCCGAGTGCATTCCAGAGTGTATTCCCAGACTGTTCCAAGTGTATTCTGAATATATGCCTTATTCTATCATTGTATTCCATTTGCTCTTGTGCAGCCACAGTGTGATCCCAACATGTTCCTTGAGATATTGGGAGTTTGTGTTGGGAAATTGGTTTAGTGATTAGTGACTATAGTTGGGCTAGTAAAAAACATATCATGCGCCGTGACCCAACGCCGAGCACTCCAATGACTCCAATTGGCTATCCCCACCTTCCATCTCTCCAGTTCTTTGCAATAGTCAGTGGAACATTCTCGAAGAAGAAGGTCATGGAGCTCGCGGCTGCCATACTCACCCTGCCTTTTGCAGAAGCCTTCCCTCCACACATTGATATGTCCAGGCAGCCTATAGAACGCTATAGTTACTATAGTTACAGGATTCATATGGATTTATATGCCTGAAAAGGTACACACATGGATGTGCAAGTTGATATTTGTCCTCATTTATACCACACCTAGGCATGCAGATAGGGAATGCATCCAGAACACAGCTGGAATGCAAAATAAATAAATAAATGAAATCCAATGTAAGCCTGCTGTGGGGTCTTGTAAGTTTGGCTTTTGGTCCCGAACGGGGGGCAAGTCTGAAAGTATGTGTTCCGAGTGTAAAGCTTCAAGCTTGAGGTTGCAATGCTCAGCATCAGAGAAGTTGCAAGATCTTGCAAGAAGGTTTTCAAATATATATATATGCCTGGATTGGGCCACCTGAGATGGTGAAAGCAACGGCCCGGCACTGACTGTTCTAACCCGTTGGAAACCCTGGACATATTGTTATCAGGTTCCGTTTGGTGGGGTTTGATTTTGTTTAGCGGCCCAATTGGAAGCAAGCACGTCAAAAGGTTAAGGTGATGATTCATATTCGCAAGTGCTCCTGGCCTACCTACCTCCCTTTCAACCTACCTACCTACCTTTGTTTCAGCATGTTTCGGCCTACCTCCGTTTCGGTTGTTGCGGTGGGTGCCACGAAGGATTATCCCTAGCGGTATGCATCATGCAGATTTCCGGAATTCAATGATTGAGATGGAGATTCGGATTCGGAACACAAAATTGGGGTCTCAAACGAGAGAGTTGGGGGTTGAACTTGCACACAGACCTATTCACCTACCACTTCAAAGGATGTGCGAACGTGTTCCACCTGCAAACAGTGTGAAATCAATTGAAATCATAAATTAGGGACATTTGTTTTTAGACTGTTTTTAGAGAGATCAGGTACACTCACAGTTTACATGGGTATGTATATATATATATATATGTTCTTAACAAAACACTCCAAGCACTGACATGGAACTAGATATAGACATGATATAACTAGATTCTGCTTTTCTGTTCTAGGTTTGTTTGGTTCACTTTTGCAAAGGAGGGAGCGACTGAGGGTTGCCGGGGGGGGAAATAGTTCTTCCGGAAAAAAGCAGGGAACCGTTCGGAGCAACCACGGAAGTTGCCCACCCCCTTGTTAGCTGGATCGTTGTTTTGCATTGTTTTGCACTCTTTCTGTGTGGAGGGTAACTGTTTCTGTTGTTTTCCCGAAGGAGATGTCGTTTTGGAAGCTAATAAAGAAGGGTAGGAAGAACTGGTGAAAAATAGTTACATCATGGCTGTTGAACCAGGTGTTGAATCCCCAAACATGGATGCATGACCTTCTCATTCATTTGATGATGTTGTCTTGGGGAAGATTTTGCTCCAGTATCCCCTTTCATGACTGTGGCATCGTATCCTTGAGCCATTCCTGCTTGCCTTGACTGGCGCCCGAAGCATCACCATCACTCGGGCCTGGCCGATTGGATCCTTTTTGGCCTCATCTGCTTTGCAGCTGGCACTGCATTTGGATCCTTCGCAACTGCATTGTTGTGCTCGCGCGACTTAGACAAGTCTTGATCAGGATTCGGGTGGAATGCGTGGCCCAGGTTGATTGTC